ACAACGATAAATAATTACGTTTACGACAATACAATATTTTTTTTCCTTTTTTGAAAAATACCATAAAAACAACTGATTTTGACGAGAAAAAATCATAGATAACAAAATGCAGTTTTCAACCTAATTTATACGACTTTCCAAACTAAATTTTGTAACTTCACAACCAAATTTGTTAATTTTACCTCTACAACAACCATTTTGTTCGTTTTATTTTGGTCGTATATTTGCCACCTTTGCAACCAGTGTTTTGGACTTTGCAAACAAATGTCTTTCCACCTAACTTTCAAACCTTTCGCGACTTTGCAAAAACATTTTGTCGACTTTCCACGCAACTCATTCGAATTTACAGCTAACTTCCTTAACCCTATGTACGCCAATGTTAACCTTTGCCACCATTCACACAATTAAATCCACAAACATTGTTCTATTATTGTTTTCCAAAAACTTTGATGAGGAAATGTAGAAAATGGGAGAAATGAGTGAACTTCTGGCGTTCAAGGGGTTACGCTTTACAACATATAAGCTAATGTTCGCAAATTTGCGAATGAAGTTATTAATAAAGACCAACATATACTGAATTCACGCAGTTTTAGAGATATATTTTAAATCGGATTTAATAATTCAGCAGAGCAAATAAGTTTAATGTTCGATAGCATGTGCACCGTTCTTGCTAATCTGATAACTTTGAAACAGATAAGGTAAGATAGGATACATTTTGATTTAGATGGAGTGAATATATAATATTTAGTTTTAGCCAGTAAGCTTTGTGAAATGAGGGGAATTGAAATACTTGTAGTGGTATATTGGAAAATAGAAAGTGTGAACAAAACGTTTTAAGTATCTTTTTTCCTCGTCTGTGTCATGAGAACATTTTTCTCATCACTGACAATAAAGATTTCTTGTCTAAATGTATGGTCTCATTGCAACTCGATATATAAATGGACATCATACTGTTATTCACAACCGTATAAAATACTTTTAAACCTTTTCGAAATACGTACCAATGTATCCGAGTCTGACGTATTGTTTTAATGTATACGGCCTCTTGTGGGCAAATGAAAGGCAATATTGTTTACAACAACATCATTTTCCCCGCAACATTTGTGTTTAATATGTGTGTTTAATAAAACTAATGTGGTACATGTCATAATAACCATCTCCCCTAAGCTAATCCTCGGGGGCGGAGCTACGTCACGGACGTTCTACGTTGCTAAGACGCGCACCACTGTACCACGTATTTCTATGGGCTTTGTGCGCGCTGCTGTGGAACGCCAGTCGAGCCGGTGAAAATTTGAGAAAACAACACAAACTCAACTTTAAAGTAATCCTGAACAACCAAATTTATATATGTTACACACGTAGGGCTAATCTTGTTACACTGCTCAGGGGACTCTCAACAACCATCGCAAAGTACCGTTTTCTGTGAGTTTTTGGTCTTTGTTTTCACCGCGAGGGTTGCCAGGCGGTAGAAAATGCCCGGATGTCCGCCCCCGAGGATATGGTTCGGAGAATATTGCTGTTTTATGCATTTTTTCTAGATCATTACCATGTACAAATATAGTGTTTGGGAGTCAGTAATAAGTCAGTATTAACTTGTTTTATTCTTCATATTAAAGTGTTAGAGTATTTTATTTTTTCACCTGCGCATGCGCCAGATGGCTACAGCGTTTCATTTTTTTTACAAACAAGCGTCTATCCACAAGCCTTTGCGTTTTTAGCGTGTGTTGTTTGGGACTCAATTCCCGCGCGTGCGCAGTGACGACCCTCCCGCTTTAACCAAACATAAACGCGCAGTCCACCACACGTCGTACATATTGGTGAGTCGCTTTTACACCAGGATCACTATAGCATCACATAACATGCACTCGATCAATTCTCATGAATAATAACTAATCGGTCAACAAGCTATGACTTCCGGGATCCTGACCAGTGACCCGGGATAGAATCCAATTGAGCTAATCCGATTGGCATTCGTGTAACTAGATTATTGCTGGTACCAGCTGGGTTACCATGTCAATGTTAATGTCGTAATCCTCGCCGAGTTAATGAATCCATTACATGCCAGGCAAAATGTAAGGTACAAAACATCGTGACGGAATGTATTGACGTTACATGATAGTTGCTAGGAGTATCGATTACACATCTGTATTATCAAAAGTCACAGTCTGGATAATGGATACGAATAATTTGAGGTGTGTCGATAACAGACGACGACGACGACAGTTGGACGTGCCGGATCACGTCTGTTTACATTACTAATAACTTAAAATATTTCTAATTTAATATTTTAGGTATAATTGGTGGAAATGTTCAAACTGACTGTGATAATCGCCGGGTACCTCCTGGCCTCAAAAGGTAACGATTTTATAATAATCTGAACGCGCGGACTGCCTATCGCGACGTTTCGGATACCACTTTTTTTCCGAATTTTGGCTTCAAGGTCATATCATGTGTGTTCGTATCCGATTGTAGATCGGAAAGATCAATGGCGACGGCGGCATAGAACATGGGAATATAACCTGTGGCAACGAGTCGACCCAGTGTTGGCTAATATGTCCAGGAATATTACTTCATTAACTTGTGTGTACTTATTTATTTATTCATAGTAACATATTTTATTATTAATCGGGATATCAATAAAATATCAATAAAAATCCAACATTATTCTCATCAACCTCACCATAATTCTCATCAACCCATACTAATCCCATAATTCAAAATGGTAAACAGCGTCAACGGACTGGATTTAATTATGCATTTAATATTTTGATCACCAAAAAAAGCACCATTTTGAGTCCAATCGTCAATAAAAGATTCACGAGCCACATTGCAGTCATAGACGATAAAGCCACAGACAGTTGAATCGAATACATCCCGTGTTTCTCAAATACTAGGCAATTTTGCCAACTTCATTGGCGTTGGAAGAAGTGCACGTGATTTCAACGTGTATTCATTAAAAAGTAAATGTAGTGGCATATACACACATTTATGTATATTTTTGAACCCAAAAAACTTGATAACATGTTGCTTATATTTAATTTGAAAACACGTTAAGTCCTTTCATGAGATTTCAAATATGGTGGTATATTTTCTTGTAGTAGAGAACGCTGACTGTCTATACTATTGCTTATATATTTGATTTGAAATGACGTAAGCACTTTTCGTGTTGATTTTTAATATGGTTGTTTTTGCGGCAGGGCCACATGCACCTGTATCCAACACAGTGTCTTGGGGGGGTTATATCATCGTAACATACAGCTATAACATAGAATGAGGGGCGTGCTTTTCACCTCTTTATTTTGTTCTAAACAAAAGTGTCGGGTGAATCCTACGACTATTGCGAGGTACTGCGGGATTCCCTGCTGTTTTATGAAGCCCAGCGTTCTGGAGTAATGACAGATGAAACGAAAAGTAAACTGGACTGGAAGAAAGACTCTGCGTTGAATGATCAAGGAGAAAATGGGGAGGATCTTACTGGAGGATATTATGACGGTATGTCTGTTTGTAATTTACCGTTGCGTGTCAGTACACTTTGCAAATGTGAGAGTTTCAATCCCTCGACACTGATCAAATTTTGAGACCCCTTGTTGGTTCTTGCAGGGCAGTTACATTGTAGGTTATGTTTGTCTGTGAATAGGAACTTCTAGTACTTTCAAAATAAAATATGTGAAAAGATCCTCGCCGTGTATATACTTATAATATTTCATTATAATAGAATTTGTACATATATTTTGATTGTATCTTTTTTCGAATACAAAAACAAAGAAACAAAATAAATTAATAAATAAATAAACATTGACCATCGTTATATGTCGACACAAATATCACAGTGTAGGCAATTCAAGTTTGGTCAAGTCGTGTATCCTCGGGGGCGGAGCTACGTCACAGACGTTCCACGTTGCTAAGACGCGCACCGCTGTACAATGCATTTCTATGGGCTCTGTGCGCGCTGCTGTGGAACGCCGGTCGAGCCGGTGAAAATTCGAGAAAACAACACGAACTCAACTTTGAAGTAATTCCGAACAACCAAATTTATATATGTTACACACGTATGGCTAATCTTGTTACACTGTTCAGAGGAGTCTCAACAATCATCCCAAAGTACCGTTTTCTGCGAGTTTTGGGCCTTTGTTTTCACCGCCGCCGGTTGCCAGGCGGTGAAAATGCCCGGATGTCCGCCCCCCCGAGGATTCATTCCGAACACAGGCATCCTCATACATGTACTTCTAACACGACCAATACGCCGATTACCACACAGCGGCTATTGTTAGCCTATGCAAGGGTCGTCTCCGTGGAGCTAATCGGCCAAACATTCTGACTATTTGTCGACATCAGCAAATTATCCGCGGCGTTTTCAGCACCATGAGAGAGTAATTACAATAAACGCGCATGTGTGAATCTACGATGGATATCAGATCGGATTGGTCTCCACGTTGGACATCAGCTGGCAATTTATTGTGTTTCAAAACTCGGGTGGGCTGAATACATTTGTGGAAACAAATACAGCACTGGGACAGAAACGTTTATGTCATTTTAGGGGTATTACTTAACATATGACTAAATAAATGGAATATGAGATTGATGGAACTTCCGGTTTTCATAACTTTTAATGTAGAATTAACATGTATAGGAGATTCCTTCTCTAATTCGAGAGAACTGCCTGGGACACCATCAGAAACTTCTTTTTGCGTTTTACGGGGTTCGAGAGCCACACAACCGTTTTATGATGTTCGTGTGACTATGAGTTTATTGCGAGGATTCCTTAAAGTATGTACGAAGACAGCGACACACTGTAATTTATGGCGTTACGGTATAATACAGTGTATTATTATACGTTTATGTTTGCAGGGCGGGGGGGGGGGTCCTGAGACCTCATGGTGCGTGCCGACAATTAGGCACATCCAAATACACATTGCAATAACCGAGTGTTTTTGTAGATAAATTATTAGATTACGTGTCGACTTGAAATAAAATATTTGTGTCAAATCCTAATTTATCAGCGGGGGACCATATTAAAGCCGGTCTACCTATGGCGTACACGGTGACCGTGGTAGCATGGGGTTTACTGGAATACCCGGATGCATACGAAGCCTGTGGCCAAACTGAGAATGTCAAAGATATGATCCGATGGGGCACGGACTACTTTCTGAAAATCTACCCGGAAAAGGGTGTACTGTATTACCAGGTAAGTCATCTAGAACTCCGGGTAGCATACGTGTTTTATAACACTGCCTGCATGCATTTTACTATTGGCTGCACGTGTTATACGTGCTCGACTATATATGGGTGAGGTCTCAAAAAGGAAAAATATTTTTAGTATCTGTTATTTAAAGCATAACATACCGCTACTTCCGGTGCCTAGTCGTCGCGCAGTGCATGCTCGAATTTCGTGTAACAAATGTTTATTACACACGTTATATACGTCGGTGTGAGTTCCATATCGAACAGGACGTGACGCGACGATTGTGACGCGTCAATGTTTCAAATGTGATATCGACGTTAAAAAATAAAGATAAGACGATACTCGTAATACAATTGTGTTGTATTGTTCATCAATGTGTTTTTCCGCACAGAGCATTTCCACCCACTGGGTTTTTCGCGCCAGAGTCGTCTCACCGCGTTCCAGGCAGCGTATACAACGCGCGAAAAATTGTTTTCGTAAAATTTGAAGACGCGCTCTGCAACGCTTGTGGCGTTTTAAAGGGTGGCGGACGTCGCGCAGCTCGTGCTCGAGTGTCAGGTAAACAAACCATGTATTTTACATGCGCTGCAAACGTCGCCATGAGTCCCATATCGAACAGGACGCGGAGCGACGACCACTTGCCTTTAAATTAGGTTGATGTAAAGTTGACTTACGACATACGAATATTAATACACATACACAATATAAATACAGAATGAATACATTGGAATAGAATTTTAAATTTAGAACTGTTCATTTTTAGGTTGGTGATGTTGAAACAGACCACAGTGCATGGTGTCGAGCCCAGGATATGAAGATGAGTCGACCAGCTTTAAAAGCGAATAGTGACCACCCCGGATGTGACGTAGCTGCAGAGACTGCCGCTGCCTTAGCGGCCGCATCTATTATTTTTCAAGAAGGTAGTGTATCATTTTATTCATGTGTCAGTTTAGACTAAGTAGCTAAGGTGAATTTAGAGCAATGTTTTTTTTTTCTAAAACATTATTTAAATAAATCTGTGAAATGACTGAAAGCAATAATGAGCCATATTGTATATTTCGGAATACAGATTTAACTACTCAGAGTCATTTTGGCAACATGCCAACACTCAGGCTGACAGGTAGGAACACAATAGCGTAACAATAGCGTGGTCGTAATAAAATTACTTTATATATGTTATTGTTTGCAAACCTTCAAGCTAGCTAATTGCCATTGATAGTTGTAACTCAGTGTTGGACAATGCAACGTGTGACAACCCATACACATATGTACAATAGAATAAACATGCGTTTTAAAATTAAATGAAATGAAATGAACTATGAAAAGCTGTTTCGTCCCAAATTACTGTTTTTAAAGACAAAAATCAAAACAATGTTATGAATTTAAACACACCATTTTTGGAAATACCCAGCTTTCTGTATATGTGTAACATAATATGACGTCATAAATTCAAAAAGTATAGCTAAACTATACGTACGCATACTCATGTATTTTACCTTTAACGCGTTTGATATGGGTCGCATGCGTTGTATACCAGGCGTGCAAAACATCACATGTTCTAAATTAAATCTCCATTACCAACCAGCTAATTTAAAGGTTGTGTTGGATGCGGTGGTGTTCGCGTGTGGCGAATATAACGCGCATTAGATACATTGTCTTTTTAAACAAACTCCAAGCACACGCTACATATAATAGTTATTAACGACCCCCGCACTTCAGAGTTGTATTATGAATGAAAATATGTGACTTTTAATACTGCTGTTAGAAGCTAATATGATGCTGAATATATACGATTTATTATGAACTAAAAACGGTGCTGTAGCACACAGATAGATATTCGTTCATTAGAACAATTGAATTCTAATACGCATGCGCGTACCACTGCACAATGCGTAGTATATTTCTTTTATTTTCCAAAGAGCGAATAAAAGTTACATTTTTAGTTTACGACAATTCATAACCCATTTATTCTCAACATGCACCTTTTAAACAACGATATTAAGAAGAACACAATTTTGCCCATAATTCTACAAATTGGCATGTTTTAATACAATACATATTATACGTATTTAACCTAAATATTTATTGACAGAGGACACAGTCTATGCAGCTCAATGCAAAGAGAAAGCAGAAGCGCTCTACGAATACGCCATGGCTAATTTTGGATCGGCGAACAAAGACTCGGGAATATACAAGTATGTACATATGTATATACGTTCGACAAAAAATAAAGATTGTTTGGACGAATATGAAATACACATAATAAACATATTTTACCCAACAAGTAATTCAGAGCGCATGCGCAGCTGTGTTACAAAACAACGTGATAAATATAAATTATGATAGAGCACACGGGTGATAATTTACATAGAAGAAAATTATGTTCCCTAATGCCTTTTGTAGATAATTATACGTTTTGCAAAATTATTTTTTAATACAGCCATCCACTATATTGCCTTCTAGAAACCCAGTATTCAAAGATGAGCTTGTGTGGGCGATGATTTGGTTGTATAAAGCAACGAGGATAGAGAGCTACTTAACAACTGCTGTGAGTAAATACAAAAAATACTCAATTGGTGAGCTCAGGTACACCAGCTTCAGTTGGAAAAATAAGAATCCTGGGGTTGCGGTAAGTTTACTTCTGTCCATTTATGTGTATTGTCAGTGATGTTTACAAAGTGTGTAAATACATTGTTTAATTGGAATATTATGCTACACGGTACCCTAGCTGCCCCCGTCTGTTTTTCCCGCTTGCTACCGAAAAAAAAGACATTTGCTATACGTTCGATGTAAATTTGCATATCTCGACTTTTGCGCTTGAATCATGTAAGACATAATGTGCCAATTGACATGAATGAAATAAATGACATGCCCATATTTGTCAATTGGCGGGTGATTAAAACGTCAAAAAAAAAATAAAAAAAATAATGTGGGCATTTACTTTTGTCGTTCTTGAAATTGTATTTTCGAAGTCGTAGTTAATCAATCTAGTTGTGTTGAGAGTGCTATATAGGTAATATCAGGTTCATTACTTGGGGTTTGCAACGCGCATAGTACTGTATGGTCACATCATGTCAAGATCCCATTCAAGTCTCTTCTCGTAGATAGCGAGACTGATGCTACGACCTTTTGACATGACATATATCAATGTTCAAGGTTTGTAATGAAAAAATAAAACGTCTTACCTCTACCATAGTGAACAAATGTAATACATTGAAAATGTACAGAAAATATAGTTCCGGTAATCCGTCATATCGAGAGCAGCTATTTTGACCACCTGGACCACCCAGTAACTTAGTTACCTTGGGCATGCGCATTCGCATTATTCTGAGTTGGGAACGCTTATGCGAGAGCGAGATTGAAACGGAATCATGTCACGCTACTTGCAAACCCCAAGTAATGTACATTTGGTATTATAGATAAAACACGTTGAAACCGGAAACGAACACAATACTGATTCATATAACACGTATGCTGAACCACTTTTAGCTTTAATAGGAGTTACGACGAACAGAGAACTTGTCGTCACATCTTTGGCGAGGATGCAAGAGACAACTTAAAATTTTTGAGAAAATGGTGCGAACTCTCTTGAATTGCGTGATATCTTGACATATTCATCAATCGATGTAGGTATTCGACTCCGAAGTGTCAAGCGAGGTGGCTGACTTGGCCATAACTTCCACTAAACCGCGAAGCATTGGTTTCTCGAAACAGACATTCAAAACAAAACGTTTTTCACCCTGCAAATTTTAAAATGTCCGCTCATTGTCGTAATATAGTACGGAGAATGAATCAAAAGATTCGATTTTATACAGATAAGAACTTTACGACTTGTGAGACTTGAGTGGCGATGGCGCCGTAGAGATTTTGTTTACCGCAGTAACTTGTGCAAATAAGGGCGTATGAATCATGATGATTTAAATAAATAATTTACAAGTAACAGACCGTAATATACTTACATAAACCTTGATGTCGTCTGCTTTTGTGTACGAATTGATCTCCGCAACGTGTGCGCATAGCATTGTGTTCACTGTTATCAACAATCTAGTCCACGTGAGACCAACATCTGGCGCATGCGTAGTGCGATGACCACTACCCTTTAAGCGACCGTCAATGATTCATGGGTGTTGAAAATATCATGGACGAGTCTCTGCCAGAATCATGGATATATAAAAACCATATTCTTCATTTATTCAGATTTTGTTGTACGAAGAAACATCAACCTCCGGTTATACTAAAGACGCCAACAAGTTTATGAACAATTGGCTGATTGACATAGAGAGGACCCCGCTGGGTCTAGCTTATGCATTGGATTGGGGTCCACTGCGAGCAGCGGGTGAGTACATACGTAGCAGTAATTCTTTTCAATCATAATCGCGCCCTCTAGTGCTGCTGCGACGTTAGCATCACGCAGAAGATAGATGTGAAAAAGTAGTTGAAAACGAGCTGTGTTTTTTTGTGCAGTCGTTCGTCGTTGTTTTTATTTTATTTTTTTTATTGACGAACGACAACACGATTTCGACGCTATTTATGGATTTCCTGGCAAACATTACTTAACGTGAGGATTGGTTGCTATAGGGCCTAGTTATATGACGCGCTGCAGTGCATCGACTGACCATGTACATATTCTTTTAGCTGGGAGCGCATTCATAGGTTTGAAGTTGGGCGATCTCGGCGTCAAGCGAGGACCCTTCCGAGAATTTGCCATGCAGCAGATACACTACATTCTAGGGGATACTGGGAGGAGCTACGTTGTTGGGTTCGGCAATAATCCACCACAAAACATACATCACAGGGACAGGTATGTTATAATAGACCAATGCCCAGTGCAATGTTATGTGACTCATTGTCGGTGTACGTCTTCATGACCACCATTTTGTTCTTCCCAGTTCGAATCAAGTCGTGCTATAACTACTAAAAGTGGCCTTCCGAATATTCACATATCACCTCATCACATACAATTCTGTCACCAATCGCAATCTTGCTGACATTCAGAGTGTAAATAACCGTCATGTAATCATAAAAGAGATTCTGCATCTACAGCCATCATCTGTGTTTTGAATATCGATCTGTATTTTTGTGTATATTCGTAGCTCTTGTCCAAAAACCGGAACGTGTAATTCAGCGAACGCTCTCTACAATCCGAAGGCGAATCCGATAATTTTGACTGGTGCCTTGACAGGGGGTCCTGACAACCAAGATTATTACGCCGATGATAGAACTATTATTGAAAAATCCGAAGTTGCACTGGACTACAACGCAGCGTTCCAGAGTGCCGTGGCAGGTAATTATGCAGCAATATTATTTGCTTGTGTATATGTTTACAGGCGGTGGTCGCTGCGACACGCATGTGCGAGATTTCCATAAACAGTCAGCGTCCATTCGTTCCAAATGCTCTCTCTCTCAGTGACAAGCATGCGTGCGAGTTTTGATTTGCCCGCTAGGTGCACACAAACTTAAATTCACGCATGCGACAGAAGGCTATGGCGTGTCGCCGCTTAGATCTCAATTCTCGCGCTTGCGGTGGTGACGTCCCTTTTGCTTTAAAGGGCGGCAGCCGTTCTATTCGATAGGGGACTCATAGCGACGGATACAACGCGTGTAAAATACATTGTTTAGATGAAATTCGAACACGTGCTGCGCGACGACCACGGCTATTTAAGCTTTGGCAGTATCTTTTGTGAACGCTTTGGTCTGTACAACAACCAAAGGAGCCTTTGTCAATTTGGCGCGACGAAGCCCACCGCATTTCATCCATTATTAACTGCATCTGTGTTGATGGTCCTTTACTTTTCAAGGTTAAAATTTAACAAAATGTAGCCCTACTAGTTGGACGATAATTTATTACGTTTCACTCTTTGTGTGCATGTCGATATCCTGATTGTTTTGTTATTGTTGTTCTAACCGTAATTTTTTTTCCAATTGCAGCTCTTAAGCACCTGGAGTTAAATGGTAATCTACCAACTGACTATTAAATGGATGTTTTCAGGTTGAAATTGCCGAATTGCAAACACATGAATTAAATTTCGAAGTACCTTCTGAAGCTTTACAGTTCGGGGTTATTAGTTCTTATTGTATCATATGACTGTTTATTAAACGTAGCACGATTAGAATTTGGTAGTCTATGTCTGAAAGTATGTGATATTGCGTGATGGCGCGTTACCACTTGAAAATGTAACGATAAGTTATACAACGTAAAATGTTGACATGGGTATCTGTCATCTAATCGGAGAAAACTGGATTTCTCTCAGTCTGGGCGGGTGTTTATAAACGTAACGATAGCAACTCAACTCTACAGATACATGGCTATAGTTGTTAAGTTTTTCGGGTTATTATTTCCGATAATTTTATTTTAATTTGTTCAGTGGCATTTCGACCAAAAGCAGTATTATAATTTACACATACAAACACAGTTCTCTCAAAAGATATGTGGTCATCGTTACTTACAGACGTGGATAACATATATTAGCTACATACCTTTTATCCCTACCACAATGCGATGTGCTCGCCTTGTAAAGTTACACTAGAGAGGCTAGTGGATTTATACATGAAAAAGGTAGTAACTGTCGCATACGACTTATTTACCACTTCCGTGTCACTGAGAATGTTCTAGAACCGTACTGTGTCTGGGTGGAATATTCTATATTTTTTAGAAAATGGTTGAATAGGTAATAGAACACTGTAGGAGGCAATAGAAGGTAATGGAACATTCTAGAAATTT